GGCGGGGGGGTGGTGTGTGATGGGGCAGGGGTTGGCAGCTCGGCACAGACCCAGGAGGAACTCCGCAGCTCCGGCTGCCAGGGGATAATTTGGGAGCAGCCCCGAAACCAACGGAGGCGGTGCGGGATGCAGTCCCTGAACCCCCCGGGGCTGGAGGAGCATCTCGTGAAAGGAGATGGCCGCAGGTGACCGACTGCGTCTCCTGAGACCCCCTCTGCTGCCAACGGAACCCGCAGCCAAGCACAAAGGCTTATTTCTCCACTCACCTGCACCTCCATCCCCACCCGCCGGAATACCTTTCTGCAGGGAATTGCCTTTGGGACACAACAGGGCGGACTCGGAAAGCACCAGCACCGCCGAAAGCAGCTCTCCACCCTGGCAAAGCGAGCGAGCTCTCAGATCTCCCCTTCCGAGCAAGAAGGGGAGCTGCCCTTTGGGCAGAAAAGCCGGCAGCGGCACAAACGCCCTCTCGGATGTTCCAGAAACATTTTGCTCTTCACTTTTGGGAAAAGCACGGCGACACGACTAACCGTCACCCTCGGTCCTCCAGGTCTAGGCTAATCCAAGCGACCTCCTGGGCTGCCGCGGTGCTCCGCAGCCCGTCCGGGTGCCCGATGCCGCAGACACACCGCTTCAAAGCAAAACCCTCCACGTGGCCTTCGGTACGGAACATCCTTCCAACGCAGCTGTGTCGGCAACGCACGGCCGACGGCTGGGTGTGATTTTGTGGCGAGACCCGTGGTTCGGAGGGAGCACGGCTAATGGAAGCGATGCTCAAACCCTTCACGGTGTTAATGACGGTAATGGGTACGGACAGGCGGTGCGGGGACGGCAGCGAGAGGCAGCGGAGAGGCTGAGAGCTGTCTGGGAAAGGCAACAGGAGCGGGAAGTGAAATTGGTGGGAAAGGAGTGGGAACGGGGGAAAAAACCCAACCCAGCGAGAGCAAGGCAGGAGCGCAGAGCCCGGGGGGACGGGATGGGACGGGACGGAGGAGCTGCGCACCGGGCGTCCACGCCGCAGGGGGAGGGAACCAGAGCAGGAGTGCGAAGGGAGAATAAACCTCACCAAAACCGGGATATGGTGTTAAAATCCCCCCCAAAACCAAGACACCAGTGGAAAGGCAGTGCCAAGCAGGACGGACGCGCTCCCGCACCGGGCTGGCTTTCCCCGGGGCAAACTGGGGGGGCCGTTTGTCCCAGCTGGCCACGGGCAAACGTTCCCCACGTCCTGCCCCCGCACGCCGACACCGTGCCGGGCAGGATCTGTGCATCGGCCCCGGGAAGGCGGCTGCCCACCGAGGCGGGCTCTCGGCTCCTCCAGCCCCAGCGCCTCTGCCCGGGCAGCTTCTCCCGCCCCCCGACACCCCCGGCTCCTGCCGGGGGCCTTCACCCTCCCCTCGCCCTCCGAGCCGCCTCTGGGCTCCCAACCCTGCCCGCCAGAGAAGGGATTTGATGGAACGAGCATGTAATTTAGCAAAACTGCTCTGCGGAGATAACCGAGGATCCCGCAGGAGGCATGTATCAGCGCCTTCAAAGAGGCGACCAAATTATCGGGGGGGAGAGGGGGGAGCGAGACAAGCCAGGCTCGGTTTCTAGAAAGCACCTGATTTCTGTGTCATACATTAGGCAGGCACCCAAAGCCGGAGCGCATGGTGCTGTACGAGGAGAGGAGCCAATTAAATTGATTAAAAATTGGCTGGAGCGCAAGAACACAAGCGGAGCTGCCACTGGGAAGACGCGGATGCAGGCAGCGAGGCGGCAGCGCGTCCGCGCAGCCTTATAAGGAATTTTTTTTCCCCGTCTCGAACAGAAGTAACCTCCGGAAGGGCTCCCCTTGGAGACCCCCGAAGCTGAAAGGGTTAATTCTATATCCGATTTGGTCTCTGGGAATGCGCAGGGGACGGGTGGACGCAGGACTAACCTGCGGGCGCGGGGACGGGCGGGTTACCTCCAGGATGGCATCGAGCCCCGCGCGCCCACGTGCCGCTCTGTTTATGCCGCTGCATAGC